GTTTTTGTTCTTTAAAAATCTGGTTGTAAAATTGTAATTACTCAAAACTAAACGATATATGCATTACACGCAGTCTCTAAACTCTAAAGTAATTATCCCTCTAATTCTCTATACATTTTAAGCCACGCTGAAGTTGCCTTCCATACCCTTCTTCCTTTCTCTCATCTAAACCATAACTTCCATACCCTCCTTCCTTCCTCTCTCATCTAAACCATACCTTCCATACCCTCCTTACTTCCTCTCTCATCTAAACCATACCTTCCATACCCTCCCTCCTTCCTCTCATCTAAACCATACCTTTCATACCCTCCTACCCCCTTCTCATCTAAACCATACCATCCATACCCTCCTACCCTCCTCTTATCTAAACCATACCTTCCATACCCTCCTTCCCTTCTCTCATCTAAACCATACCATCCATACCCTCCTACCCTCCTCTCATCTAAACCATACCTTCCATACCCTCCTTCCTTCCTCTCATCTAAACCATACCTTCCATACCCTCCTACCCTCCTCTCATCTAAACCATACCTTCCATACCCTCCTTCCTTCCTCTCATCTAAACCATACCTTCCATACCCTCCTACCCTCCTCTCATCTAAACCATACCTTCCATACCCTCCTTCCTTCCTCTCATCTAAACCATACCTTCCATACCCTCCTACCCTCCTCTCATCTAAACCATACCTTCCATACCCTCCTTCCTTCCTCTCATCTAAACCATACCTTCCATACCCTCCTACCCTCCTCTCATCTAAACCATACCTTCCATACCCTCCTTCCTTCCTCTCATCTAAACCATACCTTCCATACCCTCCTACCCTCCTCTCATCTAAACCATACCTTCCATACCCTCCTTCCTTCCTCTCATCTAAACCATACCTTCCATACCCTCCTACCCTCCTCTCATCTAAACCATACCTTCCATACCCTCCTTCCTTCCTCTCATCTAAACCATACCTTCCATACCCTCCTACCCTCCTCTCATCTAAACCATACCTTCCATACCCTCCTTCCTTCCTCTCATCTAAACCATACCTTCCATACCCTCCTACCCTCCTCTCATCTAAACCATACCTTCCATACCCTCCTTCCTTCCTCTCATCTAAACCATACCTTCCATACCCTCCTACCCTCCTCTCATCTAAACCATACCTTCCATACCCTCCTTCCTTCCTCTCATCTAAACCANTTTCATGTTGTGTGAGACTCCCTGTTATAGGATGATGCTTCATGATGTGTGAGACACCCTATTATAGGATGATATTTTATGTTGTGTGAGACTCCCTGTTATAGGATGATGCTTCATATTGTGTGAGACACTCTGTTATAGGATGATGCTTCATGTTGTGTGAGACATCCTGTTATAGGATGATATTTCATGTTTTGTGAGACTCCCTGCTATAGGATGATATTTCATGTTGTGTGAGACTTCCTGTTATAAGATGATATTTCATGTTGTGTGAGACTCCCTGTTATAGGATGATATTTCATGTTGTGTGAGACTCCCTGTTATAAGATGATATTTCATGTTGTGTGAGACACTCTGTTATAGTATGATATTTCATTTTGTGTGAGACACCCTGTTATAGGATGATATTTCATGTTGTGTGAGACTCCCTGTTATAGGATGATATTTCATGTTGTGTGAGACTCCCTGTTCTAGGTTGATGTTTCATGTTGAGTGAGACTCCCTGTTATGAGATGATATTTCATGTTGTGTGAGACTCCCTGTTATAGGATGATATTTCATGTTGTGTGAGACTTCCTGTTATAGGATGATATTTCATATTGTGTGAGACTCCCTGTTTTAGGATGATATACACCGACTAAGAGGAAGAAAACTAGCTGGATATATGAATGGGTAACATGTGTGTATGATATATTATATATATATATATATATATACCCAGGTATGCCCATCATGTTATGGAATGTGAAACCCTAGTTTCTAATATACAACAATACTCAAGTATGATACCCGTTACACTATGCGGTGGTTTTAGATCTTATTAAGGCAGTTCAAGAAAAATGGATTATAAATGGTAACGGCGTAATCAGGTGGGGGGAGGCATGCGGACTCAGCCCCCCATGATAAGTAAAATCTATGGTTTTCTGGTTTTTTAGACCCCAACGTGTGCTGAGCCCCCCCCCACCCCCCCACAAAAAATATAGAGATCCACCCTCCCACTGAATTCATTTAATTCTTCAAGGGGCTGATAGCGTAATTTCAAGTGACCCTCCATGCAACCGATTTCCAATGGTACCCTTGAAACCTTAATCTAATGTGGAAGATACCTTCGTTTCTCTGACTCGAAAAGAGTTTATTTCTGTGGGCTTCTCCATTACTTCTTAATCTTATAACCAGGAAACCATATACTTCTTTCACAGAGAAACTACAAATGAAAAAAAAAAAAACATTTTAAAGCAACACCATTTTTGTTATCTTATAAATAGATTCTATATCAGAGAAAGCTTTCAAGGGTACCATTGTAAATCGGGCATTGCCATATTTGCATGGTGGGTCCCTTGAAAGTACGCTTACAGTCCCTTTAATAGTACACCATTTATTTTCAGGATCCCTTTAAAAAGGCAAAATTTCTCAAGTGTTAAAAAAATGATTTGAATGGATATATCATTGATATATACCCTCGACAGTTTATGAATGAGCCTGTTGCCGAATTATTAATTCATATTTGCAAAACTAAATTAATATTGATTCCTCCTCTAAGTTGAATCAGTTAGGCCTTAAATAAATCATATTCAGATCTTAATTTAAGCAAGCATGATACTTCAATACAGTATAAACGGGGTTTAAAGGGACATGATACTTCAATACAGTATAAACGGGGTTTAAAGGGAATCGTCTATTTAAAGGGACTGTAGATAAAATTTACAAACGGTACCGTTTATACATCTAAGTAACAATGAGGAAGACATCGTCGATTTTTTATCTTAAAAAGTGTAAAATTTTACTAAGGAATTGAGTCTTTCCTACAAACTTTGATTTTCTAATCATTTTCGCAACCCAACGTCGCAGACCTTAGATATTTCAAACTATTACTTCTGTTGGATCAAATAAACTAAGCACTCCTGTATGCCAAGTCCATTAGCACCTGATCCAATCAGGGCTCAGTCATGTGTTTGTTGTCTATTCTAAACCAACAGAAATAGTATGGTGGTAACATCTGTCATCTATCTGTCTATCTATCTCATTATCCAATCAGAGTTATAAATCCTTCAATCGGCGCTATCAGTAAATGGAAATATTTACTTCTACTGAAACTATAGTGTAAGTTTGAAATATCAAAGGTTTACATTACCAAATAACAAAGAGTGTGTGGCAAATGCTCAAATTATAAGATTGATGACAAAGCCTTAAAGGGAGTGACCGGCTATATAAGGTAGTTGAACTGAGTATGCAGTGTTGTGGAAAGCTTCTTCTTAAGGATTCATTTGAGACATATAAAACTTTTTAAAGATCTGTAAATCCTGAATTTGAGCGCCAATTCTACGTTCAAAACTCCTACTTCGGGGGTGGATACGTTTTCAGAATTAGATTTTTTTATTATTAAATAACGACGACATAAAATGTAAAAAAATTCTACAGTAAACTAATTAGTTGTTAAGGAACAGGTTGAGAAAATAAAAATTAATCTTATCATCGAAAATAATTAATCTTGTTCAATTATTAGTTTCTCATTATATGATGAAAACAAAATAATTGATTTTTTTGACAAATTTCTTTTGAGAAATATGTTCCTAACCATCTATTTAGACTACTGTATAATTTTTACTTTATTTTTAGTCGTCGTTATTTAATAATTTAAAAATACCGATTCTGAAAACGTATCCACCCCCAAAGTAGGAGTTCTGAACGTCGTATTTGCGCTCAAACTCAGGATTTACAGGTCTTTAAAAAGTGTTATATGTCTCAAATGAATCCTAAAGAAGATTTCCACAACACTGCAACAATGTCTACATTTAGCAAAATTGTGGTTTCTTGAATAATTTAAATATTTAATCATTGATCACCCATCTTGTTAATTTACAGTCGTTTTGTGAAGTCATACTGAAATGTATATTTGGCATTTTTTGGTAATATTTAGAAAAAGAGGGGTTGTCGCCCCCCCTGCCCCCTCCTGACAAAGTAATTAATACTGAAATGAATATTGGTGGCTTATCTTTTCATCGTAATTGGTCTAGAAATTAGTCCTATCATTACTCAGTGCTCATACCCTCGATCCACTGAAGGTTAAACTTCTAAAATAAGATGGATGGAGACGGTATGGAACCTCAAAAATCTATTTGATTATTTGTATACTATTCTATTTCAACTTTAAATTGTGGCTCTATCTTGGAGCATTTTCTATGAATTTAATCATATTTTTCTGTGAATTTTCAAAATTTTGTAATTTATGGTCCCACACAAAATTTGGTTCAGCCGCTTAAACGTTTTTTGGATACAAACAAACAGACAAGCAAAGTATATATAAAATTATATATATATATATATATATATATATATATATACTTTTCTTGTCTGTTTTTTTTTGTTTGATTGTATCCAATAAACGTCACAACAGCTGAACCTGATCGGGCTCAAAATTTTGTGTGGGACCTCACATCACATGACAATAGGGAAGGTTTATAGATGATCAAATTTTCAAAAATTTGCCTCCATCAAAATTCGATTTTCATTAAATTGAAATCTACGACTTGTTTTAATAAAATCCACAAACTTTTTTTTGTTTGTTCTTGTTTTACAATGTATACAAAAAGAAAATGTTCACAATAGAAATAATGGTCGTGGAGTGCACTCAAAGAATGGGTTTTCATGGTACCATAGTAACTTGGAGGGTCACTTGAAATTACGCTTGCAGTCCCTTAGAGTTGAAATCTTATGATATAGATAAAGTAAATGAAAATTATTTCCGACCATCTTTTCATTAGAAATACCGCTAAACTAAAAATGTGCTAAATATATTTATCATGCAGCTTTAATTCAGTAGATCCGCTTTATTCTGGTTATCACTGTATCTAGATCCAAACTGGGCGGCTAAAATTAAAACCAGAAATTGAAAATTTAAATCTCAAATAAATATTTTCTGTCTAAAGCATAGTAGTTTCCTGGTTAAAAAGAAATGTGCGAGATTTTAAAAATTTTATTCTTCAAAATTATTCAGATGTCCTGGTCTAAATGTTTGCCAGACGTTTATGGATTTATAATAGTAAGCGGAAATAGCAATACAGTATATTTCATATTACAGCTTTAAAAATTAATGCTGAAATTTGTTTTAGAAATTGCAGAGACCAGCTTGTACATATATCAAAATATATATTTTAAAACTCATTAAAACCAATGAGTTTGATCATTATCCTTCCTGAATTTTTGTGCATTGCCCCATTATAGTGTGTAGGATGACAATATATATATATATAATGTATATATAGTCTGTTTGAGTATAATAATTCAACGATAAGATCAATTCAACTGTTCTTTTTTCATAATATGCATACTTGGCATACTTGGCATACTTGGCATACCCTGTAAACCCTGCATTCTGCATACCCTGCATACCCAGTAAACCCTGCATTCTGCATACCCTGACAACATTGAACCAAGTTCATGGTTCTTAATAATAAGTATTTGTTTTGTTGGTCTCCCATATTTAGAATGAAGAATGTAAGTGTACACAAAGATCTCTTTACAAAACCTATAGATAACTCACTTATGTAAAACAGTATTTAAATACATTTATTATCACTAAACCTCTCGAGTGGATAATTGAATACTGCTAATGCAGGATATTGTCAATCGATTTAGAACGCCTAAAGTTCGATCATTTCACCCTCATCTAAACTTTCAGTGTGCACTACAGTTATTTGCAGTACTCTAACCGAGGAAAGAAAGAAAGTTGGGTTTAGTGGAGAGTGATTTTGAATGATGACTGGTTGGATAAGGTCTAGTAGGATGAGGACTAGTTGGATGAGGACTTGTTGGATGAGGACTGGTTGGATGAGGACTGGTTGGATAAGGACTAGTTGGATGAGGACTTGTTGGATGAGGACTTGTTGGATGAGGACTGGTTGGATGAGGACTGGTTGGATGAGGACTCGTGAGATGAGGACTGGTTGGATGAGGACTGGTTGGATGAGGACTGGTTGGATGAGGAATGGTTGGATGAGGACTTGTTGGATGATGACTGGTTGGATGAGGACTAGTTTGATGAGGACTGGTTGGATGAGGACTAGTTGGATGAGGTCTTGTTGGAAGAGGACTAGTTGGATGAGGACTGGTTGGATGAGGACTAGTTGGATGAGGACTGGTTGGATGAGGACTAGTTGGATGTGGATTGGTTGGATGAGGACAATTATTTTAAAGTCTCAATTTTTACTAAGATAGTATTATTTCTAAACAGTTTCATTCTGAAATATCTTCATGTTGAAAATGTAATGTCTAAATAGTCACTAAACCTCTCAAATTCTTGTAAATTCTCTAAACCTCTTAAATATCAAGCTTGTAGATTATTTCTTCGTAAAATAGCATACTTTTTATATTTTTTAAATAGCATACTTTTTATATTTTTTAAATAGCATACTTTTTATATTTTTTAAATAGCATACTTTTTATATTACTTTTTATATTTTTTAAATAGCATACTTTTTATATTTTTTAAATAGCATACTTTTTATATTTTTTAAATAGCATACTTTTTATATTTTTTAAACTCATAAAACTTCTTAAATTCCTATTATTAATAAATACTTAAATATCTCCATCTGTTTAAAAATGAAAATGTAATGTCTTAAAAGTTACTAAACCTCTCTATTTTTTAAAAATATTCTCTAAACCTCTTAGTTATCAAATCTGTAGAATGTAGATATCTTTTCAGAAAATGTAAACATACTGTTTTTAAAAATCAAATTAATACTCAATAAAACTCTCAAGTTCTTGTATAAAAGTCACAAAATGTAATGACACTATTTATATTTCAAAACTTAGGAGACTTTTAAAATTAATTTCTCTTAAAACCTAAACCTTTTCGTACTAAAACCGTGTCAACATGAATTAAATATGTAAAACATATATCTCAATGTATCTAAACATTAAACTTCTCATAAAAATTCATTCCATAAACCTCTTTTAATAATAAATGTATGAATTCCATTCTCATTAATAATTTTTGAATTTATTAGTATTAACACAAAGCCTTTAAAGATATAATGCTTTAAATCTATATATTATACTTTAAAGATAAAAATCTTTTTAAATTCTTATTTATTGATTGTATTAATGTGAGAAATGTAATTGCATAAAAAAATTTACAAAACAAGTGTTGCAATTACAATGCATTGATTTACTAAATTTTGCAATTTTTTCTTATTTAAAAAATTTTTTAAAAAAATCTTTAAGTTGTCCCGATTGTAGATAGGAAAACTAAATGTTGGAGGGTTCTGGGCTCGGAGTATCTGTGTTGAGGGCATAGAGTATAGAAAATATATTATAGGGGAATTTAGAGAATCTCTCGGTATGAATTTTTTCAGTCCCTTTCAGCCTGAAAGGGAGTTCAAAGAGTACAAATGACGTAAATGTTCACAAATTATATGCAGTAGAGTACATTAATACAGTATGTTCCTTAGAATTTGTTAAAGCTGTTAAATAAACTTTATAATGAATTAGGTGAATAAAAAACATCATTTGATTTATAGTTATAACGGAAAATCATCGTTTGTAAAGTGAAAGGCATAGAGTCTATGTGAAATGATCATTGGTCAATTATGAAACCAGCCTATTTCATAATTTGGTTTTCTTTTAACATTAATTTTAGATTTTCTATAAAATGATATTCCAGGGCCCAAAAGGTTATAAGCATAAATATGTGAAGTACACCTGCAGTATGGAAACAGTACAACAAAATGGCCGTTTTACACTTTTTTCTAGTAAATTCCC